CAACAACAAAACATTGTAATGTTCTTAGTTCAAATTGTGAGCCACTTCTATAGGTCCAAATGAGGCATTTGCTTTTACATTCTAATCTAACCACTTTGAAAGGAACCGTCAAATGATGTTTTTTTTTTTTTTTAAGATTTTATTTATTTATTTGAGAGAGAGAGAGAATGAGAGATAGAGAGCACGAGAGGGAAGAGGGTCAGAGGGAGAAGCAGACTCCCTGCTGAGCAAGGAGCCCGATGTGGGACTCGATCCGGGTTCTCCAGGATCATGACCTGAGCCGAAGGCAGTTGCTTAACCAACTGAGCCACCCAGGCGCCCCCGTCAAATGATGTTAAAGAAAAATTCAGGTATGACATCCAGAAAGTAAAAAACTGGCCGATAGAAAGATTTGAGTGTATAAAATAAAGGACAGTTTGGGGCATCTGGGTGGCTCAGTTGGTTAATGGTCTGACTCTTGATTTCGGCTCAGGTCATGATTGTAGGGTTATGGAAAGAACCCTACAAACTCTGTATTGTCCTCTGCACTGTTCATGTAATCTGCTTGAGATTCTCTCCCTTTCCCTCTCCCTCTTCTCTCTGTCTGTCTCCTCCCTTGCATGTGCTCTCATGCTCTTTCTCAAATAAATAAAATCTCTAAAAAAATTAAGAAATAACGGACAGTTTATTGGCCTGTAACCAGAGTTACCTGCAAAGTATTCCAAATCATCCCTCCTAAGAATTTCTTTTATATTTCTAGTATCTGCTGTACTTCCTCGGGGAAACAAAACAAGCAAACCTCTTCATAGCATACAAGTGTCCCCTCTTCCCTCCAAAATTTCTATTATGAGAATTTTCAGTATATGTGCTGCCGAAGCAAGCACTATTATGAGAATTTTCAAAGACCTACAAATATAGAGAATGTATCCAGGATCCCATTTACCCATCACCCAGCTTCAGTCATTATCAATACAATGCCTAATCTTTTATTCAACCCCCCCAATTAGTTTGAAGCAAATTCCAGAAATTATATCATTTTATCTGTAAATATTTTTAAACGATAATCTCTGGCCCCATTACCAAAATACAGTTGTTATAAATAAAAATATTAATAGTAATTTCTTAATATTATTAAATATCTGACAGGATTCACATTTCCCTGTTTTATAGTCTTTTTAAAAAAGATTTATTTGTTTGAATTGGGACCCAAATAAGATCCCTCATTTGATAAATTGCAGATTGATTAATAAGTCCCTTAATTCTCCATTGATTTATAACAGCACCATCCAGTACAGTAGTCACATGTAACTATTTAAATTTAAATTAATTAAAATTAAAGTGGAATATTCTGATCCTTAATCATCAAGTGCTCAGCAGCCACATGAGCCACCTTATTGGACAGCACAGAATATTTCTCTTACTGAAAAAAGTTATTTTGGTCAGAGTTGATCTATAGGTTTCCCCTCCAACTATTTTATTTATTTAGCATTTTCTGTTTTCCTTTTAAAATTATTATTATTGTTATTTGGTGGAACAAACTGGCTACTTTGGTTTTCTTTGTCTCCCAGAGTCTGGATTTTACTGATTACATTCATGTGGTATACCTTAATACGGTTTCTATTCTTGGTATCTCCTGTAAATTTGTAGTTAAATGTAGAGGCTTGGTCTAAATCAGATTAAAAGTTATGCATATATATTTTTTTCCTAAGAACATTTTATAGGTGCTGGTGTATACTTCTATTAAGAGAGGGATATGTAATATCAGATTGTTTCTGTCTTTGTAATGTTACTAGCTATTGATGATCAGTGCCTATCCCCAGATCCACAACTTCATTGAGTTCACAAAATGGTGATATTCCAGCATTCCTGTGTTTATTAGCCAGAATTTTATAAGAGAAACTTCCCTTCGTAAACTGGTTATTTTTAGCTACGGATATAGAAAAAGTAGAGTAATTGCCTAAGTCTTATCCTTTATTTTCTAGTTTTCAAAATAGTATTGGTTCTCTAACATTTTTCTGGAGATGAGCTGTGAAAATTTTTTAAGTGTATTAATGAATTAATATATTTAAACATATTTGGTATATTTGGTCCAGTATAGTTTTATCCTTATTATTGATCAAATTTTCAACTTTGGCTCAGTTGGGGCCTCTGCAGGTAGTTTCCTCACTTGTTTTGATATGACTCTCATAACCTTTGATAGCTTCTTTTCTATCTGATATGATAGAATTTTTCCACACTCATCTTAAGTATTTCCAGGGTGGGATCTGGGATTAGCTGTTTTGCAAAGGAGGCTTAGTTCTTTTGGTGATAACCACTGAGTCTTAATTTCTTTAGAAGCCATATACTGGGCACTTCTTTCATAGTGTCAGTGGTACTGAGTTATTCATTGTTTTAGGTTTTCTTTTTTAGTGGAAAGAAATATATATACACATATATACTCACATGCCTGCACACATGCACACACTTAAAAATATATGTTTAGATATATAATAATATAATAAATATATATTTAAAAGATAAAATACCTGTTCTTTAAAGCTTAGATTCTTAGTATACTTTGGACTTGAAAGTATCTACCCTAGCTGAACAAGTGAAATGTGATGAATTTTGGGCGCCTGGGTGGGCTCAGTTGGTTAAGCGACTGCCTTCGGCTCAGGTCATGATCCTGGAGCCCTGGGATCGAGTCCCACATCGGCCTCCCTGCTCAGCGGGGAGTCTGCTTCTCCCTCTGACCCTCCCCTCTCTCATGCTCTCTCTCTCTCTCTCATTCTCTCTCTCAAATAAATAAATAAAATCTTAAAAAAAAGAAATGTGATGAATTTTAAGATTGAATAATACTCTTAGGCATAACCATATGTACAGCTTTTTGGGATTAGAGTTTTGGGGGTAGGGAATCTACCTATACTGATTAAATTTTCATTTTCTTCATTGAAGGTTGAGAGGTGAAACATAGTTTATCATCTGTAAGACGAAGTGCCAATTTGTGGTTCTTGATGAGAAATTGATCAGTTAGGCGCTTGTTACAAGAGGTGCAATCAGTGAGGTTAGAAAGGGAAATTGAATTTATATTGGTGTGTTATATGCAATTAATTTTGAATATACACCTGAGGCACATGAATCTTATTGGAGTTTGAAATATCTATACTTTAAATCAGGCATTGCAAATCTAGTGTGATTAAATATATTTAAGAGTTTGTATTGTTCGACAGTTGCTGTGCCATTCCAAAATATGTTTTTATTAGGCTGTTCACAAAGGAATCTTGTGGTTGCTATAATGAGAAGATGAAATAGCTAAATTTGTGTATTTCTTTTAGAAAGAATGGAGGAGAATAAGGTTATTTATATTTTAAGATTTATTATTTTTATACTCTTATTTTTTCTGAATGGGATGTCTTGTCATCTTGAGAGAAGGATGGATTGTTGTTATCTTTTTAAAAGACTGCAACAACGGGGCACCTGAGTGGCTCAGTCAGTTGGGCGTCTGCCTTCAGCTCAGGTCATGATCCCAGGGTCCTGGGATCGAGCCCCGCATTAGGCTCCCTGCTTGGTGGGGAGTCTGCTTCTCTCTCTCCCTCTGTGCCTCACCCTGCTTGTGCTTTCTCACTCTCTCCTCTGTCAAATAAATAAAATCTTAAAAAAAAGAGACTACAACAGTCTTTCTACTTAAGGAAAAACATGATATAGTTCACTAATGACACAGTAATTAAATTAGGGTATTTACAGCAGAGAAGAATTTTTAACAGTATAAGAATAACACAGTGGGCGCCTGGGTGGCTCAGTTGGTTGGGCGGCTGCCTTCGGCTCAGGTCATGATCCTGGAGTCCCAGGATCGAGTCCCACATCGGGCTCCCTGCTCAGCGGGGAGTCTGCTTCTCCCTCTGACCCTCTTCCCTCTCGTGCTCTCTGGCTCTCATTCTCTCTCTCAAATAAATAAATAAAATCTTAAAAAAAAAAAAAAAAAAAAGAATAACACAGTGTATTGGGTAGATATTCTCAGGAGCAGTTTATCCAAAATAGCCATAAAAGAATTTTCATAAATAAAGTAGTAAGAAAATGATAAATGAAAGAGGTGAGATTTGAATTGGGTCTTAAAGCATAGTTACAGCTGTAGGAGAGGACCTTCTAGGCAGAGAGAAGCAACAGGACAAAACGAAAGAGGTGCAAGACATTCAGGGGAGATTAGAGCTCTTTAAATGAAGTAAAGGGTTATTACGGGGGAATAGTGAGCTGTAAGAATGAGGCCAAATTTCCAAGGGGCTTAATTTTTTTTTAAAGTTGGACTTTATTTGGTAGACAAGTATACTGCACATTTGGACTATTAGTCTAACGCAGGTCAGAATTAAGAGATCATCTTGAGTTCTTTGTTCCACTTCAGCAGTATCTAAAAATAGTCTTGGTGCTGTTTTGAATGGATTTCACAGTTAGAAGTCCAGAGGAATGGAGGCTTTATTTAGTTACGGTACCATCCAATCTCCAGTTCCACAATTTTTATGTATAGTTGTGTCCTTTTTCATGTTGGGGTCCCGCAACTGTCTGCCATTACCAATTAAGTCCACATGCTTGCTTCCTCAAGAGTATTGGGGAAAACAGATTCATAATTTTTAGTTAGCTCATGACTCAAAATATGCACAGAAGCAATCTTTTTTATGTGTATGAAATTAACAAAATGAACGATTTTTTTTTTAAGATTTTATTTATTTGAGAGAGAGAGAGAGAGAAAACACAAGCAGGGGGAAAGGGAGAGGGAGAAGCAGACTCCTCACTGAGCAGGGAGCCTGATGCGGGGCTTGATCCGAGAACTCTGGGTCATGACCTGAGCTGAAGGCAGACGCTTAACTGACTGAGCCACCCATGTACCCCAAAATTAATGACTTAAAGTGTACTGAGGTTCAGTGGCATTTTTAGTGCATTCAGTTTTGTGCAACCATTATCTTTATCAAGACACCGAGCATTCTTTTTTTTCTTCCAAAGTTTATTTGTGTTTTGTTGTTGTTGTTGTTTGTTTGTTTTAGTAATCTCTGCACCCAGTGTGGGGCTTGAACTCACAACCCTGAGATTGAGAGTCTCATGCTCTTCCAACTGAGCTAGCCAGGTGCCCCAGGACACAGAGCATTCTTTTTTTTTTTTTTTTTTAAAGATTTTATTTATCTATTTGACACAGAGAGAGAACACAAGCAGGGGGAGTGGCAGAGGGAGAGGGAGAAGCAGGCTCCCCGCTGAGCAGGGAGCCCGATGCAGGGCTTGATCCCAGCACCCTGGAATCAGCACCTGAGCCCAAGGCAGCTGCTTAACCGACTGAGCCACCCAGGCATCCCAACATAGAGCATTCTTAAATGGAATGTACTTAAACAGAAAAGAAGGATTATTATAAAGTAATTTTTGGCATGATTTTGCTTGCTAATTTCTCAGTCTGTGTCACTTGTAGAGTTTTTTTTTTTTTTTGAAGCTTAAAATTTTGGGGAATCAAAAAACAACTGTCAGAATGGAATTTTTTTTTTTTAAAGATTTTATTTATTTGACAGAGGGAGACACAGCGAGAGAGGGAACACAAGCAGGGGGAGTGGGAGAGGGAGAAGCAGGCTCTCTGCCGAGCAGGGAGCCTGATGGGGGGCTTGATCCCAGAACTCTGGGATCATGACCTGAACTGAAGGCAGACGCTTAACAACTAAGCCACCCAGGTGCCCTGGAATTTTTTTGTTTTGATAATAGTTGAAAAAATAAGCAACAAGGTGAAAACCTGAATTGATTTTTTTGTTCACTTTTGAATAGAATGAAGTAGTTTATTTAATAGAAAAATTGTTTTTCAAATTAGAACTGTCCATGGTGGATTTGGATTCTAACTTTTTTTAGCATGTCTACTTACACAGCACTATCTGAAGAAGGCTGTGGAATATAAGAGGACTTCATTCTCCTCTATTTTTATTATAGGTTGTGTGTTATGGACCTAGAAGAGTGAAGGTTATGTTTCCTGATCTTAGTTTTCTTTTTCTTGTTTTTACCCCATCTCTCCAAAAAATCTACACGATGTTTATTTGTAGTAACCCAGTAGAAGCAAAGTGCTGATTGTTCTAAACATAAATTCTGGTCATTTGTGCAAAATATTTTAGAAGGATTTTAGCTTTTATTTCTTAGTAAGAGATCTTTCGGGGTTCTGATTTTGCTTGTGGATATCTTCAATCTGTATACTAATTTTTTCTCATAATCTCTTTGTTCTCTATGGAGGTGTTGATGTTGATGCTGAAGTAGTAACATGAAGATGGCAGTGGTATTTCCAATTGGCATTTCTTATTTAGGTCCTTAAGAACCCCTAGTAAGAAATTAGAAAAAGACAATTAGGTCAAATTAATTAGAAAAGCTAAGTAGACTATTTAAGGTCACTATATTCAGTCAGTACGATACTGTTTTTAGATTAGTAAGTAAAAATGCAGTGCAATTAAACATATATTACAAATATAAATTTTGTGAATTATCAGATGGATTTAATCACTACCCAGTAATTTTTGCCTGCTGTTCGTGTACACTTTCACATCATCTGTGATTTACAAGACTGGTTATAAAGAAGTACGCTTAATTTCTTGCTGTTGTTTCATTTAATAAACATTTTGTCATTATTTACCATAGTAGCATATGCATTTGAGGTAATGAAAACGTTTGGAAATGGTGATAGTGATTGTATAATATTGTGAGTGTATTGAATATCACTAAGTTGTACATTTAAAAATGCTTAAAATGGTAAATTTTATGTTATATAATTTTACTACAATAAAAAAAGAAGAAAAATCTTATCAGTAAATGAATATTTCTGGAATGATTTCTTTGTAGTTATGGAATTTTTTAGTCAAGATTTTATTACAGGGTGATTTTTTTCTTTAAAAAAATTTATATAAAAAAAAGGGGGCGCCTGGATGGCTCAGTCATTAAGTGTTTGCCTTCGGCTCAAGTCGTGATCCCAAGGTCCTGGGATCGAGCCCCACATCAGGCTCCCTGCTCCACAGGGAAGCCTGCTTCTCCCTCTCCCACTCCCCCTGCTTGTGTTCCCTCTCTTGCTGTGTCTCTGTCAAATAAATCTTTTTAAAAAATGTATAAAAAAATAAAAGATTTTATTACAGGGTGATTTTTATTTTTATTTATTTATTTTTTAAAATTTTATTTATTTATTTGACACAGAGAGAGAGAGAGCGAGAGAGAGAGAGAGGGAGAGAGCACAAGCAGGGGGAGCGGCAGGCAGAGGGAGAAACAGGTTTCCTGCATGAGCAGGGAGCCCGATGTGGGGCTCAATCCCAGTACCCTGGGATCATGACCTGAGCTGAAGGCAGCGGTTTAACCAACTGAGCCACCCAGGCGCCCCTACAGGGTGATTTTTAATCCTAGCATAACTGGCTTCTACTTTTAGCCCTTAAGTATTCAGAAGAACAGGAAAGTGGAATCTGGGTATGAATTTTCTTAAATGTTTTTATAAATTTATTATTTATCATGCAATTAAAAAATATAAACTGTTTCATAAAGATAACATTTAATTTTTGGTGTCATAAAATTAAGCATTTTGTTTTTATAAAAAAAACTTTTCCCCAAAATGAAATGAGGTCTACTTCACATTTTTTAAAAGATCATCCTTGAATACCTGTAATCTAACAAGCATGTAAGTGACAAGAAAAGCCATTTTCTTTTTCCTGTTTAATATATATTTTTAACAGCTTTATTGAGGTATGACTGATATTTAAGAAATTGTACATACTTAAAATATGGAATTTGATGTTATGGCATTTGTATACTGATGAAAGCATCAGTATAATTAAGATAGGGACCATAGCCATCACTTCCAAAACTTTCCTCACACTTTTTCATAATTCCTCTTTCCCACCCCATCTAATTTTACCCCTCCTCAGTTAACCACTGACCTTTTTTTCACTGTTGGCATTTCCTAATGTTTTATGTAAATGTGTTTATACAGCGTCTACTCTTATTTATTGGGCTTCTTTCAATCAGCTGAATTTTTTTGAGATCCAGAGTGGTCACTCCATTTTACATTCCCACTTACAATTCCAGTTTTTCCATATTCTTTCCGGTACTTGGTATTGTCAGTCTATTTAATGTTAGCCAAATGGTATCTCATTGTGGTTTTAATTTGCATTTCTCTAATGACTGATGATAATGGAGAATTTTCTTTGTGCTTGTTTACCATTTATATATATCTTCTTTGGTGAAATGTCTTTTTAAATCTTGAGCCCATTTAAAAAATTAGATTCTTATTTTTCTTATTCCTGAGTTTTGAGAGGTTTTTTTATATTCTGGATACCAGACTTTTATTAGATGTAGACTTTACAAAGATTTTCTCCCAACCTGTAGCTTTAAAAGTGTCTTCTCAAGAGTGAAAGTTTTAAAATTTCAATATAGTTTTCATTTATCAATTTGTTCTTTTACGATCATGCTTTTGGTCAAATCTAACAATTAAATAATTAATTAATTAATGGTGCTATGGAATGAATATTTGTATTCGCCCCAAAATCATATGTTGAATGCTCATGAATGGGATCAGCACCCTTATAAGAAAAGACATCAGAGGGGCGCCTGGGTGGCTCAGTTGGTTAAGTGACTGCCTTCGGATCGGGTCATGATCCTGGAGTCCTGGGATCGAGTCCCACATAAGGCTCCCTGCTCAGGGGGGAGTCTGCTTCTCCCTCTGACACTCCTACTTCTCATGCTGTCTCTCTGTCTCATTCTTTCTCTCTCTCAAATAAATAAATAAAACTTTAAAAAAAAAAAGAAAAGAAAAGTCATCAGAGTTCTTGCTTCCTCTCTTTGTACTCTGCTGTGTGAACTGTGTGAAGAAACATAAGAGGGCAGCCTTGCAAGCCAGAAAGAGGGTCTCATCAGAACCTGAACACACCGGTACACTGATTTTGGACTTCCCAGCCCCCAGAATTATGACAGATATGTTTCTGTTGTTTAAGCCACCTAGACTGTGGTAATTTGTTGTAGCTGTCTGAACTAAGACACAGGGTCACAGAGATTTTTTCTGTGTTTTCTTTTTTTTTTTTTATAAGATTTTATTTATTTGAGAGAAAGAATGAGAGAGAGAGAGAGAGCACATGAGAGGGGAGAAGGTCAGAGGGAGAAGCAGACTCCCTGCCGAGCAGGGACCCCGATGCGGTACTCGATCCCGGGACTCCAGGATCATGACCTGAGCCAAAGGCAGTGGCTTAACCAACTGAGCCACCCAGGCGCCCTCTGTGTTTTCATCTAAAGTATTATAGATTTAAGTTTTGCATTCAGGTCTGCCGTCCATTTTGAGTTAATTTTTTGTGTGTGATGTGATGTATGGAACAAAATTCACTTTTTAAGTCCAGGTATTGTTTCAACACCATTTGTTGAAAAGACTGTCCTTTCTTCACTGCATTATCTTTGCATATTTGTAAAAAGTCAGTTGTCTATATATGTGTGGGTTTATTTCTTGATTACTGTAGCTTTAGTAAGTTTGAAATCAGGTAGTGTTAGTTCTCTAGCTTTGTTCTTCTTTTGCTTGTTTTTTGGCTATTGTATGTCTTTTGCATTTCCATATGAATTTTAGAATAAGAGCCTACTGAGATTTTGATTGGGATTTTGTTGAATCTTCAGAGTAATTTGGGGACAGTTGACATCTCTATGATATCAACCCTCTTTAATTTTCTAACCTATAAATAAGATCTCTTCACTTAGGTATTCTTTAATTTCTTTTAACAGTCTTTTGTAGTTTTTAGTGTACAAGTTTTTCACATCTTTAGTCAGATTTATTCCTAAGTATTTAACATTTTTTGATGCTATTATAATGCTATTTGTCTTTCCATTTCAATTTCCAATTATTCGCTGTTAGTATATAGAAGTAGAGTTGATTTTTGTATATTGATCTTGTGCTCTGCAACTTTGGTAAACTCACTTGTTAGTTCTGGTAGCTTTTTTGTAGATTTTCTATACATACTATCATGTCATCACCTTTTGTTTAGTTTTTAAAGATTTATTTATTCATGAGAGAGAGAGAGTGAGAGAGAGCAAAGGGGACAAAGGTCAGAGGGAAAGGGAGAGAAAGCCCCAAGCAGACTCTGCACTGAGCGTGGAGC